AATTTCTAAAAAATCTTCAACACAATTATTACATAGAAAAAGTTTATATGAGAATGTATAACTTCATAAAGCACAAGATGTAACTGACAGGTTTGATGTTATCTCTTCATGAAAACTGTATGGAATTCTGATGAAGATATATAACTAAAGTAAGCCTGTTACACTGTTTGCATTGCAAAGTTATTAATTCTTACTTATATATACCTCTTCTACCTTTGTTATAATAAACTCTGTTTATAAATATTACAGGGACTAAAAATATTACCTGTACAGGCCAGTCATGAAATACTGGGTACTTGAACTGTCTATGACTTGTATGCAAAATATAATTGTAATGTATCTAAATTCAGAATATACTGTTAACATGTATTTTGATTTTAAGTGCACATTAATTCCACCCTGTGCATTACCTTGAAGCATAGCATAAACTTATTGTTTTTTTTGCTGATATCACTGATCCCTGAATTAATATTTTACTTGGAGACTGAATAAAAATGTTATCAAATATCAGCACAATTACCACAATAGCAGTTCCTTCACTGTTCACAATAGATTGTACCTCTGATTCACCCTTATATTTTAGGAAGTCTATGAGGAGCAACCACTGGATTAGCCATTTCTAGTAACCTCCGTCCTTCAGCTCTATAGTCAAAAGTACATGCATGTTCTTCTGCATGACGATGCTGGGAGCAAAAGACACGGTTACACCGACACTCAAAAGTTGTCGCAATACGCAAACGCCGTGAGCACTGATCACACCGAGGTTTCCGCCGACCTTTTCTTTTCTGAGGTGTCACTGATGGAAGGTGAGTTGGAGATAATTGATGGCGACCACTCCCCAGACGCCTTCGACCTTCATCTGGTGTAGTCTTCCTTGATCCCAGTCCTTTACTGTTCATTATTCCTCTCAATATATCTCTTTGCTCTCGACTTCCAGAAGCAACAAGGGCACCATTTCCAGGAGAAGGAGGCGTGTTATTTCTTAAAGATGCTAATGACACTGACACAGATTTATTTCGATTCATATTTGAGAGGCCATTGCTAGCTGTCATACTATTTGACAAGCTGGCATTATTGGCTGTTCCAGGAGGAGTCATCATAGAATGATTTGAATGGCGAGAGTTTGCTCTTGATGTATTAAGTATTGAAACTAGTTCACGAAGACGGTCATCAGGAGCACGAATTTGTATACGATCACTAATTGTACTTTCCCCTCCCATTGATGCTGGCCTGCGCTCCAGAACTTCAGGAGATGTTTTTGGACGGATATTAGGTGTTCTCTGAGTAGTGCGCAGTAAATCCTGATTGTGAGAACGGTAAAGGGGGTCTGCTTCATGTCGTTTACTTTTTTGAGCAGTCTGTGGGGGCATATAGAGGGGCACTGGACCTTCCCTCCTTGGCCATGCTTCACGGGAGTCTTTATCATCCTGAACTATTTCTTTTCCACTATTCGTAACAAGTCCATGGCGCACTAATGATTTTCGGTAAGAAGCATAAGCACTTTTTTGAGTCTGGGCACCTATTATCTGAGAAGGCACTATAGGCTTTTGTCCACTTCCCTTCCCTCTCTCTTCGTTGACTGCAGGCAGCCGTTTGCGATCAGCTGGGCGAATGTCATCTAAGGGCTTCCGGCCTGTCCAATCCACAGGGATGGGTGGGTGTGCTGTGGGGATTTCCTTGAGACGAGTAGATGTCCGTGTAATGCTGTTACGACGGAGCTCTGCATTTCTTTCCTGAGTGGTTGGCCGAGAACCACGTCCCCCCCAGCGATTTACAGTTTTGAGCCGTTTTCCTCCACTGCCACTACGCTGACGAGTATTAGGCCTTGATCCTCCTGCACGATGTTCCTGTGAATCTGCGAGGTTTAGGTGATTCTTTGCCGCTGATTCTGCCTGAACAGCAACTGATTTTGTGTCTTGTTTCTCTTTTCTGTCAGATGTTACTGGTTTTGCATTCTTCTCCTTCTTGGCCTGCTGTAATAGGAAACAAACATTAATAAACAAACAACGCATTTTCATATTATGTCTAATACAGCTTCCAGAAAGTGAAATATCCATAAACCTATTTATACCACATATGGTCATAATATCAATTACTGCTAATTTTGGTCTCCCTATAGGAGTTATAACAGATAGTATGTAAAATTTAGAAGTACTGTAAGAACGGTCTGTTGACATTTCTAGACAAGCTTTGATTGCATCTTATATAATTATGAAAATTCTTGCTAATGAATAACAGTCACTTACTGTCTGGTTATTTTTTAAAAATATATGTATATTTGTTTATATAGTAAAGATGTTTGTCCCATAATTGTTTATAATCACCCTAGTAAATCATATAATGCAAATACCCACATAGGGCTTCAACACCTTTTTGAAATACTGAAGTCAAAATATATTACATAGTTTTTCAGATGATACGTGAAAAAAAAATTAAAATCTATAATTTCCTCTTCAAAGAAGTCCTAAAAGATGATTAGTAAACAATGTATCATTTTGCA